TATGCATGCAGGAGGGGAGCGAGGACTGGAATTGGGAACCGCTGGGCTACATCATGTGTCATTCAACGGGGAGAAAACTTTAAAAGTACTACAATACCAGGAAGGAAGATCGGGTTGTTTTTTGTTTTTCTGCCATTCTCGCTCTGTCTGCACAGCGCACGTGAACGCGCTGATGACGTATCCTGTCTGCGCGAACCGGGTGCGCAGAGGTATGCTAATACATACGTTGACAGGCAGGTAGGAAAGCCAATTAAAACACTCGGACCGAGCGTTTTGATTGGACGAACATTTCTTGGTCTTACGCCTTCCACAGAATATATTAATACAGATAAATACATTTAGACCACTTAACTTAATGGTTGCTATCGGGATGTGAAGAGACTTTCAACCAGCATAACAAAAAATATTTCTGAAGATAATCACCTATTGCACCTTTAAGGGGAGGAATTAAGGTGAGGATCAGCTATTACAGAGGCCGTTCTGGATTTTTCGTTTCCATTTGATTCTCCTTTACCTTCTTAAAGGTAAAGTATTTTACAATAAGTAGTGTGCAAGTATTATACAATAAATTAAAAAAAAATTAAAAAAAAGGCATAATAAAGTTGGTGAAGAACAAAGAAATGTTTTGGGTTGTTAAGATGTTTTTAAAAGAATTCTCTAATGCTCACCAAGACTGCATTTATTTGATTAAAAATACAGTAAAACTAGTCATGTAAAACATTATTATTATGTTATTATTCATTTAAAAAAACTTTTATTTTAATATATTTTAAAATGCAATTTATTCCTGTGATGACAAAGCTGAATTTTCAAAGGTCTAGTATTCAGTGTCACACAATGCCTCAGAAATCATTCTAATATTCTGATTTGGTGCTCAAGAAACTTTCTTATTAATTAATTTATTCGTAATATTGTTAATAATTAATACATTTCTTATTAACTTTCTTAACAATTCTTATTATTTCTTATCATTATCCTTAATAGTAGTTCTTTAATAATAAGTTCTTTCTTCTTATTATTAATGCTTAAAGCAGTTGTGCTGCTTCTGCTAGAAACTGTGATGCATTTTTAAAGACTAATCTAAAAATGTATGTATTAATTATTTATTAATTTCTTTAAACAATATATATTACTACTACAGCGGGAGTGTCAATGAGCAAAGCTAGGATCAGTGTAAACACAAACAGGTGAAATGAAATGCTACAGTGTTAGGCAGGTCAACATTACTGGAATGTCAAATGTCTAATTAAAAGAGAGGACCAAAAGTAACTGCTGCATAAAATTATGGTTACTTGTAATATTTGTAACATAACACTATACCTAACCCTAACACTGTAAGAAAAGCGATACCGTACACATAGAAATCAGGCCTGTGAAATAACATTCCATTTGTATATAAATACAAATTGCCTAATGCTTATGGAACCAAATCAAATCAAATCAAATCAAATGACAACCCAAAATCAACCAACTGTACATGGAACATAACAAAAATGCAGAATCCAACAACGCCTTCTTTGCAAAAGGCCCTCATGTCCACATTTACATTCAAATTTATTAATTTAGCAGATGCTTTTAACTTTTAACAAACGAGGAACAACACAAGCAATTTGTCATAGGAGCCCAAAAAATTTGTAGTAGACTATGCTGCTATACATCAAACAGACTAACAAACTCAATTGCAAAAAGGATTGCTGTTGGCCAGTGATATGCTTATGTCCTATTATATGAAAACAAACAATACATTTACCTCTATATATGTAAATTAATTCATTAGCATAATACGGTGGGTTTGCAGCGCGTTTCTTCATTTGCATGTGCTGTGAGGATTTGCAGCGCATGTGTTGTCAAACTGATGAAGATGTTTTCTTAATTTGCTGGTGTTTTTTCAATTTGCATGTGTTTTCTTAAGTTGCAGTGCGTTGAGCTCTCTCGGCCACCGTAGCATAACATGTATTTAAATCAAAATTTAATCGATTGACAGTCATAATAAAAATACACTAAAGCTTCATGTGCCACCTTAAATGATGCAAGAAGCATCAATGAAAGCTTAATGGCAGCTGCTAAGACTGATAAGAGCAGAGAGAGAAAAGGAGGGAAGCGGAGAGACTGCAGCGGGTGAGCTGGGGCCGGGCTGGCGTACAAGGGCCCCAGCTGCCCGGGTGTCAGGGTTAGTAGGACTTGGAAGCAGAGAGATAATCAGCTTTATTAGTGCTGCTAAAACCAATTTAGGAGCAGACTCAGGGGATCAGACGGGCCAGCTGTCCACACCACCCCCACTCACTTCTCATTAAGACCCCATTTCAGTTCATTCAAAACACAACCCAAAACAACAGGTATTTTAATTCAATTAACAAGCATCCGTTCGTCCTTCTATTAAAAGGTAATGTAACAATAATTATGCAAGAATCCATTTCGGAACAATTAATGCACAAATATCGCATCAATTATATAATGAGTCAATCAAAGCTAGCGGTTTTGTGAGCAAAAAATTATAAAACGACATAAATTCACAGATTTAGCATTGCCTGTATGTAGATTGGTTTAAAGCACCCAGAATGTCCACACAATATAAAAAAGCACCCAGAATGTGCACACAATATATAAATGCAACGCATACATAATCAATAGTGAGTGTGATGACATCACAGCATTTCCTTGACTGGCGTCTGCCTTGTAATTACACAGTGGAAAGGAAATCGCGAGAGCAAGGCGGAGGGGGGTGAACTCAGAATGAGGCCGCAGTCGTCTTAGAAAGAGAGGCTGAATTTCCGAGAGCCTCGTGACGAGTTGGCCCAGACAGGCAACTTTAAAAAGTCTCACCTAAACCACTTTCCAGTCTGCGAGAGAGAGATAAGTCTACGCCATCTCACTCTCAGCCGCAACAGTCC